ATTGTGTGTTTGCAGTTAGGTTTTGAGACTTGTCCATATACCAGCTTTTAATTTGTTTTACAAGTCATTTTAGTTTCTTTATTCTGGTATTGTTTGGTATACCGAATCACCTTACAAAAGGCTGGTATATTAACACTATTACCTTTACCAACCAAACTTTAAATTGATTTGTATTGTCTGTCAGTTATTTGTTAATCAAATCCTTTATCAGCCTTTCCATTATTTTCCCCGGGACCAATACTAGGTTAATGGGTCTGTATGATCCTAATTGTCCCATTATAATTTATAAATATGATCCCAAGAGTAGTATTCTTTCTTTTTGGGGAAACAGTCCAGTGTTTCAACAGTTATTAAAATAAATGGCTAAGAAATCTCTTTGACAAACTTATCTAAAATCTTAGGTGCTAATTATCTGGAAGTACTGATTTTTAAAAAAAGGGGTTTTAGTAGTTGCTGTTTTCATTCCCTGGGAGCTCAGGAGAAAGTCGGTATACAATTATCATCCAAAGTGGGTAAGAAGTATTTGAAAACATCTGCCTGGATGCCTAGAACAGGAGGAACATACATAAATTGCCTAGTAGCACAGAAGAATGTTACAGCATACACAGGTATCAAATCCCCACAACTGAGGCCATGTTTATTTTACATTGTCCTATGCTGTTTTTTATGACCCTGATATGATGAAGTGTGTACTATAACCATTTTATCAATTATGCTGCTTTTAAATATTCCAAAGGAAGAATTATTCTACTAAAGATGATTATATCTTGGTGCAAGTTGACAGGGAAAATCCAGTAATTAGCAACTTCATTAACTCACGTGGAAAGTCAGGCATGCAATAGAGTTAATATCCTTTGTCCTTTTGATTTATAGCTTTCCATGATAATTTTTTAGATAAACATTTATTTTTGATGTATTATGGCTATTGAGAATTTTCATCAAGATTTTCAGTAAACCTAGTTATGCACATAGCTTTTTAGAAGTTTTAATATTTCTAATTCTTTACTAGTTCATAGTTTCAGTTGAAATTTGTAGGAATACCATTTATTGAAGGACTGCAAAAGGTGAGCATGATCGAGCATTTAAACTGCAGCCTGGACTAGCCACCAGTCAATTTCTGGTTTTAATTTAGTTTTTACAGTTGATACTGCTGAAAATATTTTAATATACATTTATTTTGCATTTTTATGAGCTTAAAATGCCTAAACCAAACTTTGGACTAATAAATCAGTCCTTCAGTAAGGCACTGTATGTCAAACTATAGACTGAAGTGAATTTTGAAGGCAGTTACAAACTGCTGAGAACTCGTAATGAAAAGGAGAAAAAATATTTTATTTGCAAAGTTCAAGAAAATTTATTGCTGTAAAAAATGTGCAGTAAAACTTTACTCATTTTCCGTGCTAGTGCAAATTAATTCAATTGATGAGAAAGTGCTGGGCGGGAGTGTGCATGTGTAAATTGGAATTGTTCATGTAATGAACACAATTTGAAAAAAAAGTAACATAAGTCTAATTGTTTTGATTATTTATAGAACACGTAATAAATTATCTGAATTAGAGTTTATAAAATAATTAAGTGGTTATGATAAGCTTTATTATTAAAGAATGTCTTCATTTCTCAGATTTAGTTGCAGACTGCTGTGTTTTATGTATAAATTATGGTGTATATAAAAATGTAAATGCCCAAATTAATGTTTCCTCTGTATTTAAAACCAGTCCAGAAATACTAACATTGTGTTTTTAGAACCTGCAGGTTTAGATTTTGTTATATTGTTTTAACTTTTTTAAATTGATTATTCTTCTGATTTTTTTAACAATTTTGACCTGGGTTATGTGGCATATTTAAAAAAAAGGAACAAATAAGGTGATTCATACATTCTTACATTTGCAGGATTCATTGCCTCATTTTAAAAAGACTTTTTAAAAGGAAAATGAATTGGGTGACATTGGATTGTATAGTTGATAGTCTTCTGCTGATAAAGACTCTAACTACTATTGATTGTTAAATAATAAACAGCTTTTCATCTATGAGAGTTGACTTGTCACAAAGTGTTCTAAAGCTTGGGAATCAAAGAACTGATGCACACAATAAATTTCTAGTGCATTATTAGAAAATAATAGAAGTTAAATGGGACACTGAAAAATACTGCTGACTGAGGCAAGTAAATGACACTGAGAAAAGTAATGCAGCTTTTAGAAAGGCTCTGATGCATGGTTTATGTCTTTAAATTAAAATAGAGATGTTTTCAATCTGTGAGAGAGCTAAATTATGACTTTTTTCATGTGCTTCCTTCCAGATAGAGTGGCTGAAGTATCATACAGAACACTGGATTTTATAGTTCAGAATCCACATAGCAAAGGCCAAAAGCACTCTTCTGTTTTTTAAGTGATTAGAATGGCTTCTTAAATGCACACATTCAGTCACTGTACTAAACACAAAATCTATAAATACTACCGCAAAAATAATTTCAATGGGATATTTAGGGCTTACTCATTAGTTAGTGTGTTTAATCTTATTATCCTTGCCCTTATTTAAGGAAAACCTGAAAAGAGATGTGGAGTATTTCCCAAATGAAAAACAAATATATAAAAACACAACGCTGATGCTGTAAAGGACTATTATCCTGTCTACTATCAAAGTGCATGAAAAATGGTTTCACCCTTTTAAAGAATTACTGTATCAGAACTGCTTCTTCCTAAAGACAGAATTGATGCTTGAGACTATGATTTCCCCATCAGCTAAATCACTAGCTTTACTGGTTCAGAGTTCAATTCATTTTTGTTCAGCTTTGCCTATGTGGAATTATTAAAGAGACAGGCAAATTGAAAAGGCTCACATTTGTATTTTGCAGCTTGATTTGTTGACAATTCATTGCTCCTTTTTTGCAGCTTGTGGCTTTGCCCAATTTTATAGTAATAGAACAGTTTGGATAGATAGCCTAGTACTTGTTGGCATCATGTTAGAATCCTGCTCACGAGCTGTAATATAAAATGCCACACAAAAAAACACTAAGGCTTTTGATATAAGAGGCCAGGTCATCAACTTCATCAAATCAGTGGAACTGCAGTGATGTATGCTAGTAGAAGGTTCTAAGTCATGAAGCCAATATATGTTCTAAATTATACCAGGGTTTATTAAATCATAAAAAGACAGCCTTATTTTTTAAAATGTTTAATAACTGCCCCAATTCTCCAATTAAATGTCTTGTCCCAGGTATTTGTTTCTTGTTCCCCCTGAACACACCCCCCAGTTTGGACTAATCTTCCAAATCTGTCTGCTGTCAGCAGCTACCTCTCAGTATGCTCCTGGCTCCCCACACCTGGGCCAGGCCAGGTTGTTGAGGAGCTGCTGAGACATTGCCGCACAGAGCTGCCCCCTCCTGCCCTGCAGAGAGGGAGGAAGAGGAGAAGGAGAGCTCTGTCTGCTGCAGCAGCTCCCTGACAGTCCAGTGCAGCTTGGGCACAAGGAACTAGGAGCAAACTGTGCTGGGCCAAGGGGGCAGAGCCCCTCCCAGCCAGAGGTGGGGCTTGGGCCTGGGCCCTGGGATTGCTTGGGCCTGGGCCCAGATTGCTTCTGGCTCCCCATGCCCACACTGGGCTGAGCTGTCAGGGAGCCACTGCAGTGGGCAAGGTTGCCCCACTCCTCCTCCTTCCCTGACAGGAATTACCTCAGCAGCCGAGCTGTCACAGATGACTCTCCCCTCCCCTCAAGGGGAGGGGGGCTCTGTTCAGCACTGCCTTGTGGCTCAGGACCGGAGGGACACGGCTGGGCCCTGCTGTGGGGCAGGGGAAGGAAAACTGTTCCTGGCTCCCCATCCCCAGGCCAGGGTATGCTGAAACCCAGGAAGAATTTCTTTTTACTGGTTCTAAAGGACCCTGAGAAAAAAGAAATGTTCTGAAATGTTTAGGCCTTTGCAAATAACTTTTCTCCCAGGTAAGCTAGTTCCTTGACACTACATTGGAGCAAATTTTGGCAAGTGGACTTTATACTCAACACAGCTGTGCCAAGTACTTATAGAAGTAGAAAATTTGGTAGGAACATGTTCTTTCGTCCACTCGTTAAAGTGCTGAATTTACCACGATGCAAATAAAGCCTATATGGGTTCTCTCAGTCATTTAGTCAAATGAATTGACAAAGGACTGAATTTGGCAGGCTGTTAATTGGTTAGCTTATCAGTAATCAAACTAACATCCTCCTCTAAGTAACCCTGGTGGATCTTGTAACCAAGCCTAGCCCTAAATGGCTTACCTTGTTTAGTAGTAAACCAATTTCAGATATTTACATTTAATTGTTTTCCAAAAACTGAAGTGTGTTCAAGCTGTATTCCTAACATAAACTTTGTAATTTATAATCTAAAATTTAGCAGATGGAATTTAATTTAATGATCACTTGTTCTGGAACACAGAGTTTTAAAATATGGAATTTCTTAAAGGATTTTGTTTCAAGTAAAACTTGTTATTGCACAGTATTCAGATTTTCTGCAAAGTGAAAGACTGAATAACAATATATGCAGTGTTGACTGGAAGTCAAGGAAACAATGGGTTTTTTAAAATTCTTTTCTAACATGGGAAAAGGGCATTTCGTTTTGTCTGTCTTTTGGTAGACCTGCATGGAATATTTAACACACACTTCCAACTGATGCTGTCATGAGTATTCTTCTGGGGTTTTTTTTTTAAGACACTTTAGAACATATAATTTAAGCTTGCATCTCATTTGTTTAATTAAATAATATGAACAATCACCACTAGTAGGCATGGTAATGTCAAGGTTTTGTTATTTCAAATTTTATTCTTCTCAGTTGCTTTTAGTTCTTTTATTTCGGTTTACTGCATGTAAAATGCTTCTCATTTTTCATTTGATGAAAATTACTGGATTATGATTATTTTATCATAGCCTAGCTAAAACAAAGAACCTGATAGCTTTGCCAGTTTGTGCTGCTCCAGAAATTATGATATATTATCTTTCCTCTCCCTTACATTAAGTTCATGTTCTATTTTCAGGGTTGTTCTTGGTCTGTCATATTTGTGGATCTTGATGCCCATAACAGAAACAGACAAACTCTGTGCTCATTGCTGCCCCGAGAATCAAGGTCTCATGTAAGTAATTTGATGAAATTCAGCTCCCCAGAACATGGAGAAAATAAATTGCTATGAACACAGTTATTGGCTTTGATGACCATTGTTGTATTCTGTTTAATAAAGGTATGAATATGTTGCTTGGGAAGAGATTAGATTTTCCTGTTTAAAATTTTTCCTTGAAAACTCATGGAGCAGATCCTCAAGAAATCCACTTCTAAGCACTTGGAGGAGAAAGAGATTGGGAACAGTCAGCATGGATTCACCAAGAACAAGAAATACCTGACCCAACCCAGTTACCATCTATGATGAGATGACTGGCTCTGTGGATGTGGGGGAGACCAGTGAACATATACCTTTACTTTAGCAAGGCTTTTGATATGGTCTCCCACAACATTCTTCCAAGTCAGCTAAGGACTGTAAGGTGGATAGAAAACAAGCTGGACTGTTGGGTTCAAAGGATAGTAATCAATGACTAAATGTGTAGTGGGCAGTTAGTCTCAAGTAGAATGCCCCAGGCATTGGCGATGTGTAGGGGGTGCACATGGGTGCATGTGCACCCCCTGCAAAAAGGCACCAACCACACTACCAGCAGCCCCTGCAGGCAGTTGCCACTCACTCCACCCTGCCGCTAACACCTATGGTGGCGTCTGTGGGCAGTCTGTGATTGCTGCAGGCCACTGCCACCGTTGATGGCAGTGTCTGCGGCTGGTCGCCAACTGCCAGTTGGCACTCGCCACCCCCACCCTTCATAGTTTCATAGTTTCATAGATTTAGAGTCGGAAGGGACCTAGTAGATCTTCTAGCCCGACCCCCCGCCAGGGCGGGAGAACAACAAAACCCCAAGAAACCACCACTGACAGTGCCACGGCTGCCTGCAGGAACTCCCCACTTGCCACCACCATGCTCGTGTCACCGACAGTGCTACCACCACCTGCCAGAGCTCACTGTGTCCTCCCCTCCCGCCAGCCCCCAGTGGCATGCAGCATTCATGACCCCAGGCGTCATCCTGGGGCTGGTTTTGTCCAATATCTTGATCAACAGCCTGGAAGAAGGTGTGGAGTTACACCCTCAGTAAGTTTGGGGATGACACCAGGCTGGGGAGAGTAGATACACTGGAGGGTAGGGCTAAGATTCAGAGAGACCTCAATAAATTGGAGGATTGTACCAAAAGGAATCTCATGAGGTTCATCAAGGACAAGTGCAAAGTCCTGCACTTTGGGGTGGAACATTCCCATGCATCGATACAGGCTGGGGACTGACCAACTGAGCAGCAGCTCTGCAGAAAAGCACCTGGGAGTTGCATTGGACAATAAGTTGAATTTAAGCCAACAGTGTGCCCCTGTGAAAAAGGCTAATGGCATCCTGAGCTGCATTAGTAGGAGCATTGCCAGCAGGTCTAGGGAAGTGATTAATTCCCTCTATTTGCCACTGGTGAGGCCACATCTGGAGTAATGTGTCCAGTTTGGGGTCTCCCACTACAGAAAGGACATGGACAAATTGGAGAGAGTCCAACAGAGGGCATCAAAAATGGTTAGGAGGCTGGGGCACATGTCTTTGGAAGAGAGGCTGAGGAATATGGGCTTATTTAATCTGGAGAAGACAAGAATGAGGGGGGATTTAATAGCAGCCTTCAACCAACTGAAGGGTGGTTCTGAAGAGGATGGAGCTAGACTATTCTTAGTGGTAGATGACAGAGCAAAGAGCAATGCTCTCAAGTTCCAGTAAGGGAAGTTTAGGTTAGACATTAGGAAAAACTTTATCACCAGGAGGGTGGTAAAGCACTGGAACAGGTTAAACAGATTGTGGAATCTCCATCCTTGGAGCTTTTAAGAACTGGCTGGATAAAGCTTGGTTGGGATGATAATAGTTAGGGATGGTTCTGCTTTGAGCGGGGTGTTGGATTAGATCAGTGTTTTGCAACCCGTGGATCACAACCCAAAAGTAGGTCACAAGAATATTTTAAAGGGTTGCAAGCAAGTCCCAGATAACGTGGGAAAGTATGGGTTTGTCCTTGCAGGCTGGCAGCTTTCCAACTTGCAAGGAGCTGCTTGGGGCAGTTGGAGGCAGCGGGCTCACATGTGTCTGCTTGGGCATGTACATGGCCAGCATGCAGCCAGGCAGGGTTGTGGGAGCAGTCCCAGCAGCTGGATGCAGGTAAATGTCTGAGGAATGGGGGTTGGAGGTCCAGGGCTTGGGGACTGTCCAGGTATGTGTGTGCATGCAGAGGGGATGGATGGGGGAGGGGAGGGGAGGTGCCTGCCTGCGAGCACTGGGGGAATGTGGCTGGGTACTGAGGCTGAGTCAGGGCAGGGGGGAAGGTGCCTGCCCCTCCAGTGGGGAATGGGGGCAATGGATGGTCATTCAGGGGTGGCAGCACCAGGGGTCAGTGCCTGTACTCACAGAGGCAGGGCGCCCAGGAGACACTGCTCAAGGGATGGGTGGGTCCTTGACCAGACTGCCTGCTGCAGTACGGGAGCCCCGACCTGGGGTATGGGGGTGCCAAAGACCGCCCTCCCTCCTCCTCCTCCCTCCAGCCCATGCTGGGGCTGGACTTATTTCACTACCACCCACATGAGCCAAAGCCATTGCAACCAGCTTATTCTGGCCCAAGCAGGATGGGGGTAGCTGGGGACCCCCTCCAGCAGGGATGGGGGGGCAGAAAGCTGTGAATTGAGAGTTGAGGGGGTCAGGGGACTAGGGGTTGGGAGTGAGGGCACCGGCAGGGCCAAGGAGTTGTGGCTTGGGGGTGAGGGGCACCAGGAAAACCAGGGGGCTGTGGGTGGTCAGTGGGGCACCGGCAGAGCCAGGGGTCTGTGGCTTGGGGGTGAGGTGCATCAGCAGGGCCAGGGAGCTATGGGTTGGGAGTGAGGGGCTGTGGGTTGGTACTGGCCATTAATGTTTACAAATGGGTCCCGGTACAAAAAAAAGATTGAGAATTACTGGACTAGATGACCTCCTGAGGTTCCTTCAAACCCTAACTTTCTGTGATTCTGTGAAAATCTTACTGTGGAATAAATATTTTGTCTGCAAGATATTTAACATGACAGACCATCCTACCTTCTAAAAATGAATACGGCATGGTAGAAACCAACTGGTAATGTTTAATTTAAATAAATAAATAACATAGACTTTGGTCTACAAATAAGTCGGATAGAAATGCATGTTTTAAAGTAGCATGCAATCTCATTAACAGTGTTTTTGTTTTTGTCTAACTTTCTCTGATAAATTGGCTGTAATGTCTGCATTTCTAGAAGGCGTGTTCTTTTTACAATAAAGCCACTGCCCATGTACATTTCCCAGATGCTTTTCACTGTTTGAAGTTGGTGTTTTATCTACAACAGAAAGTATATTAGACTTGCCTTGGAATCTGGCAACTCACACAGAAGATTCCTTATTATACAATGTTGCAGAGAAAGATTTAATCAGTCAACAAACTGATAGTGACATTAGCGTGAATTAATCAAGGAGAATTTCCTTTTTAGCATTTGTAAATTTGTTAGTTTTAAGTATCATATATTATATTTATTTGTCTCAGGGCAATAACTTTAAAATGAGTGACAGGATGTAGCTCTTTTTTGCTCTGGAAATCTAGTTGCTTTTCTATGTCGGGTGTTCTATTAATCTTCAGGGTAAATATATTTTTTTCACGGAAGAAATAGCCATGTTGTTATCTTAGCTAGTTAAAGTACTGTCAGCTGCTTTTTTATTATTATTCAACAGTTTAATGTCTATTTTCATCTGTCTTATTTGTTAGAAAAACTTGAATGTGAAATGTCTTTCCATATTAAAGTTGGCTTTCTAAATAAATTTAGTTTCCTCAGCCTCTAATAGAGTAGAAGCCAACTTTTGTAGTTATTTTCACTTTGTTTCTATTTTTATTGATTGGTATCTGTGACTTCAGCAGAAACATGGAATGAGAAATAGGTTTGTTGCTTAATTACAGCAACAGAAGAAGTAGGAAGAGCAAGTGTGTAGCGATTGCTTAGAACTGGAGGCCATATTTGTGATTTTCTCTAAGCAAGTTGTATATAATGGCAGATTACTTAGCAGCTTGCATGTGTATTAAATTTATGGAAGTAGCAGGATTGGGTGGAGGGGAGTTTTATGAACATTACTTCCTTTTTTATTCCCAAGTTGCTCTTAATATTTAGCCAAGGAGGAGAGGTTCCATAGAGATCTTGTCAATCTCCTGCTTACACTCGGTTGCTCCTCTGTTTTGCCAGTTCTGTTTAGAATGGTTTCAAAGCTAATCTTGAACCTGGGTTCTCAAATATCATTATGTGTACTGCCATAATACTATGGTAGCGTGAAAGGTCTTCTTTGTTTCTAAAACCAAACTAAAAAAGAAATCTACAATCTATCCAGTTACCTGCAGGTTGTGCTATTTAAAATCTAATTTTGAGCCATGTGAGTTCCATTTTATTTTGTAGTTCTCAGCAAGTGTTTTAGCTATTGAACTGAATGCATTGTGTCTTCCCTAGCCTTATGCTTGTCCTCTTTTAAAATGTTTTAACTTAGTTTTATTATTAATGGTAGTAATGTGAAGATATAAATACTATTATCTGCTTTGCTTATATTCCAATTTTTATATTTCATTGAATGGATTAAGCTATTTTTGATCATGCGTGAAATGGTTTGTCCAGGATGCCTAGAAATTACCACTACTTTTCTTTTCCCCCATATTTCTCTAGAATACAGATGCGGCTCTCCTACCCTGCATTAGTTATCCTGCTTTTGCTGTGGATGATGAAGCTTTGTTCAATCAAACACTTGATAAGGTTGTTAGAAAACTAAAAGGAAAATATGGGCTAAAACGATTTTTGAGAGATGGGTATCGAACTGCTTTGGAGGATAAAACGCGGCGCTATTATAAACCAGCAGAAATTAAGGTAACAGAATATATCTGTGGAATGTACAATAAGCTTAGGGACAAATTCTACTCTTGTACATACATTTAGATTCAGAGTTTTTAAATGCAAAGTTCAACTGGCACAATTTCTACAAGATGGCAGCTGACTTCTATATATTTGGTATGGCTTTCAACCCAAAGAGTCCTTTTTCTGTCCACAACTGGCTCATCCTCTTATCTTGTTAGTATTATATCAGGAAAATTTTCTTACTGAAAGTCAACAGTGTACATTCTAGTTAACCATTTGTTTATTCTCCTAATTAGGTCAGTGTTTCCTGCTTAGTCTTTGTAACAGGAGATTTTAGATTACCTAAGGCATTGTTTTAGGCTGATGTTGGTCATGAATAATTTCATTTTGATATATGTTTTTAACCAAACATATAGGCCCCATTGGTTTTCTAACCGTAGACCTGTTCATGCTGACACAGATGCATTTGTCCTGCTTGTTGCTTTCCATTTTAGGTGGTAGTTGCTTAGGAAGGTCCATTCATAACTGAGTTGTTTGTCGTTCATCATAAGTTTTTATTTTTTTCCCAGTAGCATTTTCCTTCTACAAATCGGACCTTTATGAGACCTACAAAATGAGACTTGTGTCAAGAGTCTCTCTTTCTCTAGAACAGCCAGGTTATGAAGCCAGAAAATTAAATTCTTCCTTTTCCCCTGCCCTTGATGCATTTCCTCCAAGGGAAAATTGGGAAGCATTTAGGGAGGTAACCTAGGCATCACTCTGCAGTCCACTTCAGTGGAGGAGATGCACATTGTAGATTTTTCCATGTGGTTTTGAGAGAATGCGAAGTCAGCTGTTTAGTCATTGATTTGGCTGCTGATAAATGGACTTCCATTTACATTCAGTGTACGGTTGATTTCACATTACAGATAGGCAAGTTATCATTTTATTTAATTTTACAGCTGAATACAGTGTGGGCATATTAAAAATAATTGTACTATATGGTTTTGAGTGCGTTTATCACTAGAAGTTGTTTTAAGTTTTTGTTTCTTCAAATACTGTCTTTCAAAGGAAAAAAAATTGTCTTTAAAGACAAAAGCCATCTACTGAGAATAAAACTTAAGAAGTAAATTTTTTACTGGAAAACATGCTATAGCACATTTAAAGCACAGTAAATCTGCATTTAGCAAAAAACATGATCTGTGCTCTAAAATGAAGAGCTAATTTATTAAATGTTTAGTATTCATGTTTATCTTCTTTCTTTGAAATTCTTAATAGGAGATTTGAATACATTTCCTTAAACTAAGATATTCAATGTCTTCTTTTTCCCCTTTCTTTAGCTGTTTGATGGGATTGAATGTGAATTTCCTCTCTTTTTTATTTTCCTGATGATTGATGGTAAGTAAATCTTTGCATGCTCTGTGTACAGGCATCCCAGAGAGGTTCATGAAGTAAGGAAATAAAATGATTTTCCAAATCTGCAGAAGTAATTCAGTAATGCTAAATGCCTGAATAAAAACTCTGTCTTATGAGTAAAATAAAATGATTACAGCCATTTAAGAGTAAACTCTCTGTAAAATACTGGTTGATTTTATATTTTTTGAATGTGTAAGTATAGATACCAAAAACATATCCACTTTTTTCAGTAGTCTGAAGATACGGGAGTGGCCAAATTAATAAGAACACTGCATAGTTCAGAGGTACAGTTCACAGTTCTAAGAGTTCAGATGCTGCTTCAGTCCTGCATGGATTTAGGCAAAGCTACTTGCCCCCTTTCCTTCTTCAGACTCCTACCTTGAGTTTTTTTCCTTACTCCTGACATCCTTCCTTGCTTCCAATCCTTAGGTTATTAGTAACTCCCCACCTTGCCTTTCAGTTCCCAATTTTTCTCTCTCATGTAATGCATCTGAGCTGCACTGAACACTTTTGTGCAAGAGAAATGAAACTGGGGCTGCTGAAGCAGCATGGGCAAGCTGCACATAGGCAAACTGAATGTTTCAGTAGTCTTGTAAAGGCTGGTTGTACCATGACAATATAACAGGATGCAGAAGTGAAGTCAGCAGTTTCTCAGTGGTGGGACAATGCCATCTTTATGCAATGTCTTTGGGTTGGGAGATGTCAGAAAGGTTGAGGCACAATATTGAAAGCTGAAACTTGTGGAGAGGGCCTAGAAGTCTGTTCAAGAGAGTAGAGTAAGGTGATCTTAACAAAGCAGATCAGAGCTATCTAAAAGATTTGGATCCAGTTTTGGTAAAGAGATGTAGCTCAAGCTAGATTTTATAACATCTTTTTCCACCCTTAATCTGTAGAATGCTTTTAAGCTTGTATTTGCTGAGATATATTGAATGCTAAAGTTCATAGCTTCTACGTTTCCCGTCCATTTGGATTTCAATTAAAAAAGGGATGTCAAACTCATCTGTGTCCCAGGCCAAATTCAGCTTGGGGAATGGGGTGGCAACAGCCAACACAGTAACAGTAACACCAAGTGGAGAAGCAGCAGTGGGCCAACTGGCTGCAGGGCAAATGAGAGCTTTAATTCACCCAACTGCTGTTTATGGCCTAGCCATCAGAGCCACAGGGTCCCAGTTTTTGCAGCAGGTCTTGCTCACCACTGGCTATGCTTTCAAACTCCCTGGCCCACCAGTAGCCCAGCAGGTCCAATAGAATGGCTCCACAGGCTGTGTGTTTGAATTAGAGAAGTGTCTTATTTCCAAGACATGGGTTTTTTTATTTAAGTTTAGAAAAATAAAGTGTTTTGTTTTGAATAGGTAGGCTACAGTATGAAGAATGGTAAAGCTGCCAGAACAAATGAGTATTCCCTTTTTGAAGGGACATTTTAATTTTTGGAAGGAGCAGTATGAAATATGCTGCAGAAGATGCTCTACCATGTGAGCTCCATGCCTAGTGTCTTAGAAAAGCAGAAAATGTTAATCACTCCCATCCATAGTTAGCTGAGCATTTAAAAAAGTCATAATTTCTTATTTTCCTGTATGCTAAGAAAAATATTACAAATTCCATAGACTTCAAAATTCCAAATGATAGATTCCATAGTCTCCATAGCCTTTCCCCTTAGAAGCTATTGCATTCAATAAAACATTCTTATTTAGTTGGCATGTTTTAGATGTGTGTATGTGTGTTGATTAGCAATTTTTGTTTCTTTCTTTTTGTAATATGTACCTTATTGTGAAAATGTTTCAGAAACCTCTAATGTAAATGACAACTAAAGTTAATTGGTTTCTTTGCTCTAATGCTGTCCTAAAGAGTATGTTTGCATTTGGAAAAGAATAGCTATTCTTGAACAGCACATTGAATTTTGACATTAAGCTCATGTGATAAAGCCAAGCAAGGGTTAATAATGAAAAGAAAACTGGTCTTTGCCTGGTCAAACAAAGCAACCTCCAATGTCTTCATAAAGTCTATTCAGTACTTTATCTATTGGTTGTACAATAAGCCAGTTAAAAAAATCAAAGAATGGAGGGCGACATGAGATAAAAGAGATTAAAGTAAACAAGTGTATAGTCCATTTTTTAAATTTAAGACTTATAAAATACCTTGACTCTTTGGTAGAGGACAGGATACTAAACTATTAAACTACTAAACTGCTTAACTATTAAAGGACTAAACAAAAAGTCCATGGGAAAGGCAGGGAGGAGAGAGAAGGGGGAAGAAGGGAGAATCTCAGGGTGCCTATACATGTACGTCGATGCTGCTCTGACGTGCTGTAATTCCACAAGCTTTAGAAAAAAGGCCCCATTGCCATTTTTAAGCTTGAGGACACTGGTACACATGACGCTTTGGGTGCTTTAATTAGAGTGACGCTCAGAGCTACTCTAATTAAACTTCACTTCCCTCCCCCACCTCCCAGAGCATATGTATAAATGCAGTCTCCAAATACAGGAGCATAAAGTTACTATAAAATTTGAAGTACTTATAGAGGGACGCAATAAAACTAAAAAGAAAAAGTGAAATAGTAAAAGATGAGTGAGTTACAGTTAAATGATTCTAAAACAAGAGCAAATGGTAGTTAGCTGTATTAGTTTGAAGTTAGGCAGAAGGCTGGGTAGATTTGCACTTTAACTAAATCAAAGGTGTATAACATAAGTTTTCATAAGCAAAGATTTTGTGCTATATCTCTGATTTAGCTAGTCTATAAGGTACAAATCTACCCTACCTTCAATCTAAAGCAAAAGAAACTGATAAAATCCAGTCCCCCATCACAAATACTGATTCTTCTGAAAACCCATTTGTCATAAGTTAACTCCCTCTACCTACAGAGGGAAAAAAAATCGGTAAAGATATACCAAACTAATAACAATTGAACCAACTGATGGTTAATAGCCTTTCTGACTTTTATTAGAGTAGAACAATAAAATCTGTGTGATAGAAATGGAATTTCTTAAAAATGACACTTGCAGATCATTAAAGGTGTATATAATCACATCAATGAAATTCTCTCTGCGTCTTTCTAAAAATAAATAAAATGAAGCATATTCCAAAAAATATTTACATGTATGAAGCTCACGAGTTTTAGCTCTATATTATTTTATTTTTAGGCCACAAAATAGACCAATTCTTCCATTGTTTTTCTTTATGTATCCATCAACATTTCTGTTGTTTGTTGAATCATGACTTCCTAATATTTTAAGTCAGTTTCTGGCAATGAAATGTTCTGGAATAGGTTATACCTTTCCCATTAGTATTAACAAAGAGCTGTTTTATTTCCCGTGGGTCACAGGTAGTATTTATCCTAACGTTATCTTTTACCAGTGATGTTTGGCTATTGGATTTTCACAAGCATCCAGCGCTCTTTCCCCTCAGCTTTCTTCCCCCTACCCTGGACATCTGGTAACAAGAATAATTTGCAGATTAATGTTACAAAAATTAATAAATAAATGTCTTTATCATGACATCACTCTTGCTTAACTCTGCCAACAAGATGTCACTGTTGCATCATTTCAGTATGTTTTTAGACATTTTATTTTTCTTGCATAACATTTTATCTTCCAAATTGCTGGTTGATTTTTTTTTTTTTTTTTTTCCATTGCACTAATTTCTTCTTAGCCAGGTGTTCATGGTGCTTGTTGTATGTGTAGGAATACACCAAAATACATGGAGATATATTTGTTAAGATATATTTCTTCACTTAATATTACAGAATTGGAGAAAAGGAAAACATCTGAATAGTACTATTTTTCAGGCTTCAGCCACAATTTTATATGAAAGACTTAGTTTAGGGTTTGTTTGCAATATCCTGTGTCTACCAAAATCTTGTAGGAGCAAAACATTTATTGCATGTTTATATGCTGAAAGCACCTTGTAACAAGAATATTTTGAGTTTTATGAAATAGTCCTTTAAAGATGTTAGATGGTTATTACTAAAGACTTATTGTTACATGTTTTCCTCAGTGCCTTTGTTTTTTTCCCTTTCTGTGTGTTCTCAACAGGATAACTTTTTTCAGAATTAATATCCCACACAGAAATAATACTTCATAAATTATTTTGTTGTAACACACGTTTTGCCACACATTTAAGTAATTACATCAGCCTGAAACTTCATATATATTGAATATTTTTTAAAAGAGATTTCATTTCAGAGCCCCAAAATTGCACTAGTAAATTACATGAGAACGGGGGAAGTAGAAGTAATTTCTAATCAACAAGTCAGTAGTCATTAACCCCATTGAAAAGAAAATTGGCTCCTTTTCAGTTGCCAAGTTTCTTCCAGCCTTTACTCTTCATAGCTTCATAAAGTAAAGGCTTTTGGCTGGTGTTTGTAAAAGACTTGTATGGGATTTAGGCCCCTATACATGACTGAAATTCAGAGAAAGTAGGGCACCTTGACTGCTTGTATATGCCACAGGGGCTTAATTCAGTTTAGTTCTCCTTAAATTGAAACAGTGGGTTTTTACAAACACTGCTTCAATTTAGGGAGAATTAAATCAGTCTAAACCCCTGTGGCATGTACACAAGGGTGGGGGCCCGATCCTTACCTGCCTGCTGGCACCCGGCCTGGGCAGTCCTGGGTGGGGGGGGGCATGCCACAGCTGCGGAGGGAAGCACCGGGCCCCTGCACAGCTCAAGTAGGCAGGCAGGCAGGTTCTGGGGAGGAAAAAAAAAATTCAGGCTCACTGCTTTTTTTATTTTTTTTCCCCTTCAGTGGGCCTGCCTGCACAGGTGGCTGTCAGGTCCCACAGTCCCTGATCTGCGTGGAGCCTGCCAAGCCCCAAGCACATCTGCTTTCAGAACCCCATGCACTGTTGCACTTTGTTAGGTTGCAAACTAAAACACCTCAGAGGTGTTTTATCTTGCTACGTACCAAAGTCATTTAACGTGGAATACACCACCGAGCACGCAAACAGCAACGCCATTAAAGCAGTGCAAAAGGACATTTAAGCTGC